AAGGTCTGATTCCCTTTCTAAAATAATTGAATCAGTGGTGCCTTCTAAAAATAATGGAATAACAGTCTTACCTTCGGAAAAGGACTATAAACTCCTTAAAAGAACCGTAAAGTCACACCCTATCAGGTGGTTCTTGAGGAAACCAGGAACCACCGGTGACAACGTCGTGGTATAATAAAAAGTGAATTGAGTACTGCATGGCTAGATGATCTCATGAATGAATAGGAAAAAATTCATAATTAATTCATACAAATTTTTAACCAGACGGAATTCAAGAATTCAACTGAGGTAAATGTAAAAGCGTAAATTGGAGAGTCAAAGACTCAGCACTCTAAGTATATAGGTAATTTGTGAAACCTAATTTTCAGTTATTAAATAGATATTTTTTCATCGATCACTTCTATTTCAGATGTAATACCAATCCTGGTTATTGAAGGATAGAGTAACCGCATGTGATGAACCCAAAAGCAAGAGGTGTCACGTACGAGAAAAATTTACCAAAAAATAGTGGATAGTTAGTTATCCCACTTCACATGTATTTTATATTGTATTAATAAAGCAACCAGACCTAAATGGTCATTTTTTTCTGATAATTAATTTTTGTGTGTGGTAATAAGGGGTGTTTCATTTGGGATCATCATTCCGAGATGTGCAAATCCGAGATGTTCCTATATTTAGATCCATACTTTTAGATCATAAATAAGCACAATGAAGGTGCGATGAAGATACGATGTAGATGCGACAAATTTTTTTTTTATATAATTCTATGAAAAATAACATATCGTAAGCGTATCTCAGTTGAATACCATTACCACACTAAATATTTTTTTTGTGATGTGAATTAACGATCAATTGCGCTTACTAATTGACGAAAGAAGAAATCGAAATGCTGAGTACTACGATATTCCTGGAAGTAGTAGAGTGAATTTTTGGAATACTATCGCAAATATAATCAACGAACGATTTGGAGGCACTTATACAGGACAACAATGTAATAATAGATTTAAAAATCTTGTAAGAGATCATACCGTAAGTGTTTATTTCATGTTCGTATACCAAGAAATACATTTTTCTGACGTTAGCCTATCTTTGATTGATAATATATAATTTTACCAGTTAATGGAACAGTATATAGCTGGAAGTAGAACTGGAAAGAGAAGTAGAACTGGAAAGAGAAGTAGAACTGGTGAGCGATATTTTGAAGAATTTTGTTCTCATTTTTGAGAGAAAACATGTAAGTAAATTATAATCATTAATAGCGGATATACTCTGTTAATATGGAAAGTAAATCCTAAATATTTTGTTTGAATGTGAAAAATATAGAAACCCCATTTGACATATTGCATAATGAAAACACATCACGCCACCGTAACCGTACTCCACCGCCAACTTACGAAGTACCATCAATTCTAAGTACGAGTCATTGTGAATTCACCACCAATCAAAGGAATTGATCCACGTCTCCCACTCGAAGAATTCCTAGTGAAAGGGATGAGAATAGCAATCGAGATAATGTGACATACGAATCTTCATCCGAGTTGATAAATATTACTTCAGCTCTTAATATATCTGCATCACAAAATGACAGTGATTTTAGTATGCCCGATGTAGTAGGAGGTAGTCAGCCACTGGAATCTATAAATGAGGAGGGGGATTAGATTTCATTTGTTAAGCATATCGAATTTTTCAGAATATAGCGAGTCGATCCAATCAAACAAAAAATGAATCTAATTTTAAGTTTCTATATCAAACCCAAAATCAATAGGTCTATAATCATTAAACACTATATATCATAAATAACCAAATATGTCAGGTCTTAATATTACAACTATTATTGATAAAAAAGTTAAATCAGTGAAGCTCATTAATAATCATCCTGGATATGATATGAAATATGTACAGTCATATATTTACAATTATTGTGGTATTAATGATTATCAACGATACTTCGATAATCTTTATGAGACTGAAAGACAATACGATACTTTATCAGTTATTCGACCACACGAGACATTGAAGCAATGGGCTATTCGTGTTAGAATTCCTTTACAAGAGCTGGTCTCTGAAAAGAAAAGAAGTGTATATCACGTACATTGTTTATTTGGAGTATTTGGAAATTCTAAGCTAGTTAATCATGATTACTACAGACCTAGAATTCATAAGGCCAATATGGCGATATGTCTAGATTGTATGAAGCTTATTCGTATTGATAATGTAAAACCAACAAAGAAATT